TGAGGATTTGTGTTGTCTTATATTGAGATGTAGTACATGTTGAAGTTTGTCTGTTTTGATCTTCATTAGTAAATGCTTATCCTCTTGCTTTCAGCAAGCAAGGTTTTGCCTTCAGCATATGTTCAGTCATCCATATGTATTCTAATTCAAATTCTTGCACACATCGTTTTAATGATTTAATCTTTTAATCATTCTCATCAGCTTTTATACTTCATCATTTCTTTCATTTAGTTTAGCTTCTTTGTTTCCTAGGACTAGCTTCAGACTCTCTTTGGACATTCATTGTGATCTTTTGTCCTTGTGTTTTTCATAATTTTTTGTTTTCTTCATGTATGATGTCATTGCAAAATTAGTATGAGTATGGTCATCAGTGTTCAATGCATCCTCTCCATTCTTAGGATGTTAAATAAATTTTGGTGCTATATCCTATGGGTTATATTTTAACTCTAGTGGATTTATTTATTGATTGATTCTTTGATTTATTGTCTTCCCCTTCAATCAAAATAACATGGTCTGCTTAAATTTTCATAAGCTTAAACTTGAATTTCCACCTGAACTATTGATAGTCTTTTCCATAGTTGCTCCTGACCTTGGTTTGACTATTAGAATTTAGCATGCTCATGGTCTTATCTACAACCATAGTTAATTTGATTTCTGTGTATTCTGCTCATCAATGTACACATGTATATCCACCCTTGTCTGTTCTTTGTCATACTGTAATGACTTGTGGTTTGCTATTATGCTGGAAGCTATGCCAACAGTATTTCAAATACCAACAGAGCCACCAAGCTGCACAAGTATCAGACTAAGAGTGAGTATGAATAAGGACATGGTGATCCATTTCTGACATGCAAAAAAAAATGGAAAATGAAATTCTTTTGAATAGAGTGGGGTATATTATGTTTAACAGAGTTGAAAAAGAGACCATCAGACTGGAAGTACTGAAGAGACAATCACAAAAGCACTGTGTCCTCATAGTCGAAATGGCCCCAATGATAGGAATGGAGTAAAACTTTTAGGACTTTCATTTGTTGACATATTATCACTGAATATGTTCAGAAATAGCTGTAAACATCTGTTAATAATCCAAACATGGGAGGTACAAAGTATAAATCCAGGAAAATTATAAATTAACAGAATGAAATCGATTGCATAAAGATAAATATTCTAAGCAGTAGTGAACAGAAATTGACTTGT